ACATAAAATAAAAACAAAATAAACGTTGAGCTTTAACATTGAAATTTCAACTTGAAACAAAAAGTCTTCTGTTGGCCTTGTTCTTAAAAATAATAAGGCCAACGTTATTATTTTGGCCCACTAAATTTTTGTACATTTAATAAAATGGCCGAGACTAAAGTTGTTGATTTTACAGTTTAGCAGGTGGTAACACAATGTACTGGTTGTCTACAGTGTATTAACTATTTCGATTTGTTAAGTTTCTTTGTATGTATAAATTATTTTGTTTGTGTATTATAATTGTGTTGTTTTTAATTAATATTTATCAAAACTGCTTTATATGAGACTATTTTTGTGCTAACCCTTCCTTCTTCAAGTAAAGAATCAACATAAGTCCTCCTTCGGCAACTTTTAAAACTTTGTAACCCCCCTCATAACCATCCACCCCCAAGCACCCCACTATCCCTTAGTGGGAATAAGGGAAATAGTAACTATATCTTCGGACCATTGCAGGCAGTCGTGAAGCATATTGGCAGTCTACAGTTTCCGAGCTGAAGTGTCAGTGTCAGTCAATTAGGATTTAAATTTATATCAAGGTTCAAAGAAAACCGCTGAAAAACGAAGAAACGAAACAGCTTTAAAATGTTTCTCCATAACTGCCGAATTTTTTTATTCACCAGTCATGGATAAAATATTGTTTTCTGTTCAAATATTTGAGCAGAAAAGTTCCAGTAGGAATTTCATAACTTTTATTTCGTAATCCTCGTCCTATGAGATACAAGACCACATGAAATTTGTCATTTGGTTTGTTACAATTAAAAACTACGAGTCGTCTTACGGATTTCCATTCTGAGACATTTTCACTCAGCGTCGATTTTACGTTATCTTAGTGCACTATACATTCTCATACATCATTAGATATTCATAGCATTTCGGCCAATGACATGGTTTAATTTACATCACGTGTATCTATCTGGATACCCCGTCTAGACCAGGACTTTAATTACTTCAAGTGGGAAGGGCTTTGAACAATAGGGAAATTGAGGCGTAAACAAAAGATTATGCAAATATATTTAATTGCTATGTTTAGAATTATTTCTAAATACAGTAAGTTGTATTTAGAAATTTATTCTAACTACACTTTATAGCTAACACTTTTCCTAAACGTTTGAAAACTACATAAATATAGGAAAACCAACTTTTTTACCAACTATCATAATAAACAGCGCTTTAAACACTATAATACAGCAACTTACCAGTAATGTTTACCGTCTATAAAATATATATTCACTTCGGCTCTTTCATTTTCCACCAGATAGCGCCTTATCGCACACACAATCTGATATATCGTTTTTCGGATCCCCAACCTTGTCAGCCGAGCGACAATACTGTGCACAATGCTGTGCTCAACACTTTCTGGTTCTCGAAACCGCTTTTTCTTATATTATAAGAAGATACCATGCTCTTTTGCCAACAAAATTCATCTATTCACGACGAAAGCGAACTGAATGCTTCGTTGCGCTTCATGCAAACTTTCAAGCGAATGTAATCGTTAATGCCCACGCTCACTTTTTTGAATATCTAATAATTTCATGCCTCATTGCTATGAAAGTCTAATGATGTGTGAGAAGCAATTTCAAATCCTCGTTAGTGTTTTAAACTTGGCTTCCAAATCCCCAGTGCCATGAACAATGGCTCGGCTGCGCCTCGCCATTGTTCATGGCACTTGTATTTAGAAACCACGTCTAAAACACTAACTCGGATTTGAAATATTACTTAACTACCCATTTTTGTAGTTAAATAGTAGTTAACTTTCAAATGCGCGATTCTGATTGGTTAACTTTGGCACTAATTGTAGGCTAGTTAACTTAAAACACTATTACTATTAAATTTAGTTCTAGGTAACTTACGAAACTATGAAACAGGCAAGTCACATAATTGTATTACTATTGTTATACTTACATATAATTTCTGACCGAGTCAGGTAAGATAACAACACAGCGTTGACCTTCCTCAAGATCTTTAGCAGCTTTCATAGCTGCAACCATTGCTGTTCCACTTGATCCACCTGAATATAAACATCTTTCTTCAGTACAATCAATTTAGTCCCGCCATGCAAATTTCAACTCATTATCATTATTCATTTCTTTAGAAATTTATTGTGTTGATAGTTTATAAACATGGCAATATTTGCATAGCGGGACTAGATCGTCGGGAGTACAATTAGTGGCGGACACTAGGGGAAGGGGCTGGGGAACTGCCCCAAAAATTTCTGAAAGCTTTTGAATGATAGCGGAGAAACTGTGTAACAAGGCTTAACAATAATTTTTCAACCAAGAAAGCATTGATAGACTATATACATTAAGCTAAATATTGCGGCAAAAGTATAAAATTTAAAACAAAGTATAAAGATAAGTTCTTTGTATAAAGAACTGAGATTTCCAGTTGCAAAAGGTCGTTATATGTTGGCAACCTAATTCGCCCCCTAATTAATATTTCGCTAAGTGTCCGCCACTTAGTACAATAACTAGAAATGCCAAAAATACCCAAGTTTAATCTAAGATGGCCGATGGCGCATCTCTACCACCAGCTCTTGGAACTGGCCTCCTCCGCAGGCAACTCTGTGGAGTCCAAGTGTATTTTTAAAGTTTTAGGTCAAGACGTACCAAAAGTATTGCTCTTGAACTGTTATATATTTAATAAATTGCTGATAAATCGCCAGCTACTTTGATACATAGTTGATACGAGTTACTTTGACCGCGCACAACAACAAGGTGACCTCGGATGGGGAAAACGGCAGGGAGCGGAACGAAAATGGTCGTCTGTCATCACCTGTAATCCATCCACACCCCCATTATGCAGCATGTCTAGACACTCCATTGGACCCCTCACCACGACCATCCTAGTCTCCCTCGCAAACGTTCTTATAGCTCTAACCCTCGCTAACTAACGTCTGCTGAAACGAGCTGCACATTCCATTCCCTTTGTTTTAGGAGCCAATCATCTGGCAGTGTTCAAAAGAGTTAGAGCCAATTGGAAGCCGCCTTATGGAGGGTTTAGCTACTGGGGATTTCCCTTGCACATGGGAATATATTGTTTGGGTTGAAATTTGTTTACTTGCGTGGAGATTTTTTGGAAACTATAGCCTTGAACTTCACGATGTTTACGTAGAATATTGTGATCATCTTCTCGCATGTTCTGCAAACAACCGGCGTATATAAAAGGCAAAAGCTATGCAACAGGCGACATTTTAAAATTTGTTAACAATGACAAACAAGCAATCGGGGAAACTCGAGAACCAGTAGATCAGGATATGTCCAAATGTTGCTATTAAATTCTTCCGATATGCCATGGTTTCGACGAAAAATTCTAAAAAAATTAAAGCTCTCGTTGCATGTAGAAAAGTATAGCGAAGTTACATGATTGTATAAACGTTTCGAAGTTTGGGCGAACTGGAAATTCATATCGGCGCAATTAAAAGTTTCTCGGGTTTTATTTGTGTTGTGTTTACATTCAAAAGTCAGAAGTCGTTGCTCAAACAGCAAATTAGTTTACTTTGAAACTAATATTTCGCTTTCTAAGCCACAGTATTATATCAAATTTTCTGTCTTCTGAGTTCTGTTGTCTTTTAAAGATATATATCTGTCAAAAGTTCAAATTTCAGCGAAATATATTCTGCATTTGATGCTGTCGCCACTAGATTAATACAGTATGTATTATCCTGTCCACGTTTTAAATATAACCGAACATATTTAATATCCGAATCTGATAATTAATGGCGCATTTTATTTCCTGGACAAGTATCAATGTCTTTAAATTCAATTTATGTGCAATTTTGACCAAAATTCAACCGACGACTGCTTTCAAAATATAAAAATATTTATGTACTATTTATTCCGCCGCCCGTAAATCATTTTCCGAAATATAGAAGGTTCGCTATGATTGGTCGTTCGGAGGGAATGGAATGTGCAGCTCGTTTCAGCAGACGTTAGTTAGCGAGGGTTAGATTTCTAGCTATAAGAACATCTGCGAGGGAGACTACGACCATCCCTGACAGAAACAAATATTACAGTTTAAGTGTTTTTGTGTTTGTCTTACCACAAAGCAATCCTTCCTCTCTTATAAGTCTCCTTGCCATTAGAAATGATTCTTTATCTTCCGTTTTAACCCATTTATCCACCAGTGATCTGTCCAATACAGTCGGTATAAAGTCATAACCAATGCCTTCAACCTAACAATGCACAGTATTTTGAGCAAAAGTTACGGTTGCCACTGAATAATTTTATATAAGAAAGTTGCTATTTGTTCGGTCACGGAAACCAACGAGCTTTGGCTGTTTGTCCGTGAATTAATTTCCTAACCTCTAACCCTAACTGATCGATCCACGGAGCTAGCGCGTACAAGGCGAGTGCCTTAACTACTCGTCTGCCGAAGATTTGCTTGAGATCAATGAAATTTACTTGATGTCATTTTAGCAAGGTGACAGAACGAAGAAATGAACCAGTCAAATTAATTCACGGACAAAATAGCCCAAGCTCGTTGGTTTCTGTAACTGGACAAATAACCACTTCCTTTTTATAATGCATAAAAATATAATGCAAAACAAATAGTCAAAGCGTAGAAAGTCGAAAAAGTTAGTCGAAACGTAGAATAAAAATGTGTTGCATGCAGTGTCCCAGTATCCATTCTTTTGCAACAAAATAGATATACAGTAACAGAAGTGGGTGAAAAAGATGAATGTAGCTTATGCATTGCACTGCGACTTAAAAAGAGATCCAAAAATATATAATAAGCTAACTAAAACCTGATCTTGCAGTATTTCTTCACTTATTTTTTATTCTGCATTAACATGCCAACAATAATTACGTTGTACCTTCTTTTCGCCAAATTAGAAGAAATACCATTAATAATTTCAACAATTTCATATACCTGATAGAGGGTAACATCAGTTTCATTTAATTCACTTGGTTCCGCCAACACAGAACCATACGGATCAACTCCGATTATCTACAATATTAGTGCGCAAGGATTAATAGAATGAATGGAAAAACGATGATTGCGACTGAGTTCTGACAAAATAAATATGTACACAATCAAATAAACAAATGAACGAACAAACGAGTGAACAAAAAAACTAAATTCAATTAGAATTCAACAGCAACTTATAAATAAAGCCAACCGTCAACAGTGGTACCAAATTTTGTTCACATATAGTAAATGTTTAATTTCACGTTATAAAACCGGTCAATTTTTATTCCTTTTCACAAAAGGAAATTAAAAAAAAAATAATGCCGAAATAACATGCAAAAAGACCCAAAGGTTGAAGCAAGTACCTTGCAGTTTGGTGATTTTTCTTTGATCTTACGAGCAATTCCAGTCACTGTTCCACCAGTTCCAGCACCAATAACAACCATATCTAATTTACCTGTAGAAGAACAAAACAAAACAAAATGAACCCACCACAATCGCTATGGTCAAAGACGTTGATTAGAAGCGTGATATTGATATGAATCATGCTTTGAATAGACCTTTTGCATGAATTGGTCACATGACCCCATTAACCCATTTTCCTGAGAACGAGTAGCTGTATCAAAATAAACCACAGAAATGAAAAGAACTCCTCAATATTAGTAAAATCGCAAAGTTTCACCTTGTAATATGTATTATGGAAGAAATGGCATTCAGTTTAAATTTCAAAATTGTCTTTATGGGAATGGGTGATTTTTTAATCTGGAACTATGCAGTTTTAATAATATTGAGGTGCTCTTTAAATTTGTACATAGCTACTGTGTACATAGCTAATTTGTACATAGCTAATTTGTACATAGCTAATTTGTACATAGCTAATTTGTACATAGCTAATTTGTACATAAGTGGGGTCACCTGACCAATCCTATCTATCACAATAGCATAATCTGGAGATGATGTCATCCCTTCAGCTGATAAGGAGACACTTTTTGATAACAGGTGATGCAACCATATACAGTGGCAACTCAGCAGTATCAATTTTACCATCACACTGATCCAGTATTTCTTCAGCTGTCGAATCATAGTGAGCCAAAGGATTTCCTGCATTGCGGTACTAAAATGTGTTTTAATATATTTAATAACAATTAATCGATATGTTTTTCGTGGAGATTCAAAAACAGAAAGAAACATATATAATACCTGATCCAGAATTAAAGAGTCAGCAATTTCTTTGTTCAATCTTTGTGCTACACCAATGTGCGATTCTGAACAGAATGTATAAAATTAGATACGCTCTAATCATTTGAATGATACTGCCATAAAATTATTGCATTAACTTTTGTAAACTAAATGTTTAAGTATGACGTGCCAACATTCTCAGTTGTTCTTCTCGCAAAAAGTTTGCAAAAAGTAAACCATTGCAAAAAGTAAACATGGACAATGATTAAATCTAAAAAAAAACAACATTGCACCTGGTGCATCATATCCTGCCAGAGACGGTGTCCTTACAATTTCTGCTCCCAATGCTCTAAGAACATCAACCTAAGAATAAATTTGATATACAATGAATAACATTTAAATTGTTTGTGCGTTGGTTATTTGTGAGTGATTTTTCTGTAACTATTTAACATGTTGAAAAGAATACAGCCATTATAATTTACTGCATCAAATTTATCTGACTCATAAAACATTACTCTGTCTTGTAGTTGTATTATGTAAGGTACAGTAGCTTATAGAGAGGACAGTAAAAACGTAAATTATGAAAACATATTAGTCTACTACACATTTTCTAAAATAAAAAATACTTGCCTTTTCTCGACTCATTTTCTCCGGCATAACTATGATACAACGATATCCTTTGACTGCTGCAGCCAGGGCAAGACCAATACCTGAGAATGAAAAATAATTTTTTCACATTGTCACATTCAGCTCTGGTACATCAAGGAAACCGTGAATGTCTACCTCTCTCAACGAAACGTCGAGTGTTTATCAGTCTACCTCGCTCGAAACGTCGAGTATTTGTCAATCTTTTCCGGCTGACAATATTTAGAACGATGTCTGATGAAAATCCTCAGTTTATTATAAATTAGATTTCAAAACAAAAAAAGAATAAACTGGAATCTGGGAATTCGCGAACCAGGAAAAAAATTTAAGGGCAACGTGCGGGATTCGGGATTTATAGGAATCCTCAGGACCCTCGATATTGCATATAGTTAAAATAAAATATTCATACCAAACGAATTTAAAATCATACAACGGTCAACGGGGAAACATTTTTGGTTATCTTAATTAGTGCAGTTGAGGATTTTTACTGGCCATGCTTATTGCATAACCTTAATAGAATACCTGTATTCCCAGATGTGGGTTCAATCAATGTAGTTCCAGGTTTCAATATTCCTTTTCTCTCAGCATCTTCAACCATCCGCAGTCCAATTCTATCTTTGACAGAACCGCCAGAGTTAAAATATTCACATTTCACCACTGCAAACAGAATCGTATACATGTTTAATGAACAGGTTTCAAAGATCTTCGCCAGGATTTGGAATTGGGCTATCTAAATTGTGGGCCTCCCTTGGAAGATTTCTGACCAGTACAAAGCATTTGCATTATACGTTCATTTATTGTAATGTAAATTTTATAGCTTGCTATGTTTTATATGCTTTTGATTGGTTTGTGATTAAGTAGATTTATTATGTGTTAATTGATTATTTAAAATCACCAAAAGACGATAAGATAGCCGCCAAAATGCTGAAAATAGCATTCTACCGACTCTAGATTTTAAAAAAATTTTTCGTGGAATCTTAACCCCCTGGATCCCCCTAACGTTCATTGTACTATATTATGCAGCCCCTCCTGGGATTTTTTGGGCACCCCTTCACCCTTTGACTAGAAATCCTGTCTGCTGTAAGCATAATGAGCCACTTCATAACACTCAAGAAATGGGAAAAGAATTGTTGAAACAAATTATATGATTCACAAAATGTTAAACATCTGAAAGAACCTTACAGAAAATTCACCAGGAACGCATCCATATATACGGCTTCCTTTTAATACGTTCCTTTCTGTCAAACCGGTCAAGTTATCACGTGTTGGAATTTTCCAAAACGAGAGAGTGTTTTGACACAAAATTGGGGAACCCGTTCCATCTCCGGTCCAACGCGCGTTTGTAAAGCTTTGGAACGTATTTCGGAATGCATTATTAGTTCCGTTATTCTTAGTAAGTAATACTGAATTATTCTATTGTTGGTTCATGTTTGATGCACATGCATGATTACTGATTTATGGGTTACTTTATAACATAGACTAACAATTTACCCTAGTTCTTAATGACTGAGAGGGAAAAAAATAGATATTGGACAAAGTTAACCCATTGACTGACATCACTCGATCTCCCCTTTGACACGTAAAATTGTCTAGTGTTAGACAGAGTGAAATAATAAAGTAGGGCGCATCAGCGCGCATTTGCCACAAAAAGTGTTATTTAGACAGCTGAGGCAAATGTGGAAGTTTAGCAATGTTTTTGCTAGGTTTTAAATATTTTCAATATTATATAACACATTATTTACAGTGTCAATAGACCTGCTGAAATACTACTCTCGTGCAGTATTTTTTCCTTTGCCGGCTTTGCTCAAACTATAAATATTTCACTGAATCTCACTCACATCACCGGGCTATAAATATTTCACTGAATCTCACTCACATCCATGCAGGCAATAAAAGATCAACTGCACATATTTTTTGATAATCCTTTACCAGCAGACAATTTTGCCTAATATAAGATGTCAAAACATGTGCACTGACTCCAAATTAACATCTTAGTTGTAAACTCAAGATTTGAGCTATTTAAGACAACGAAATTCAAGGTATATAATATTTCGATTTTATTTCAAAGTCATTATCAAGTTAACCTAAATATTTACCAACATGCTGACAGAGACCTTTGTTGACATAATCAGCTGAGAAGTGAGAGAATAACAAATAGATTATATTCACAATAATTATTACACTTATTATTTATGGAAAAACCATGAGTTCTTTCAATGCTTTCAAGCTGCTATTAAGTATGGACTTAATATGTAGTGCTTCAAGAAGCAACAAGAGATTAGGATTTTGGTGTACATATTAAAGAAAATGTTGAATTTTTGTGCCGTTTTGCATGGCACAGCTAGTAGGAGTAAGAGGTGCCAGTTTCATGATAAAGATTGTTAATTAATGTCAAGTAGGTATAATTGGCGCCGCGTATTCACAGTCTGTCAAGTGTTCAATTGCAGTCAATTGGTTGTTTTCAATTCTTGCGGTCAATTGGTTGTTTTCATAAATTTTACTTTGTTGGAATGTATAATTATGTATACTATATGTCCTTTATGTCTGTATTATGTCCATAGATTATCATAAGTTGCACACATGCCATGCATGCATGCATATATATAGATCATTATTACGTCGGAAATTGTAATAGTTTTAGTTAAGTTGTGCTGCAGCCAAAAGTGCTGTAGCCAAGAAATGTTACTAATGTTATTGTAGTTGTATTTTATCTAACTTGTGTAATGTAAATTGTGGTTTCTTGAGCGAAACTATATAAAACTGGTCCGAACAGTTTTTGGGTCATAATAAACTGAGAATGAACAGAGAACTCACTGAATTAGAGAGCAGAACAAATCAGATTGATCGAGACTGAGAGATCAATGTAATGAACAAATTGTAATGTATCTATATATGTGACATAAAACTTGTAAAAATCAAAACGTTTGTGTGTCGAATGAGAAATAAATCTATGCAGGTCAATTTGTTGAAGAAAGACACCAAATTTTGCGACAAGTGTTTCAAAATTGCACTTTTTATGGTTGCCAGTCATTTGACTTGTAATTCACTTCTCAGCTGATTATGTCACCTTCCTGTTTTAAAGATCTCAGCAAGCTTGCAAATAGGTTTGACAATGACTTTGAAATAAAGTCAAAATATTATATACCTTGAATTTTGTAGTCTTGTATATAGGCCACTCCAAATTAGACTTTAGTTTCCTGTCCTTATTTCAAATTACACGCGGGTGGGTGGTCCATTTCCATTATCCATTATGGTGTCTGAAAGAATCTGACACGACCCATTCCATGAAATAGATACGCGTTTTAAATATCTATTCAGGCACATTTCTAAGCAATGTTTTGGATTTTTTGTATGCAGAAATTAATTTAAGCCTGTACGCAGAAATGAATTAATTTAAGATATTTATCCTTATCATTTTTTTACGTTTAAAAATCAAAATGTAGCAAAAAAGTTTAATTAAACAATTTTATTTCAGATAGATTACTTGAGAACTGTCGATCCTTAGTCATAAAGGTCAAACAATGGAAACAATTATAAGGTTGCAATAATGGACAAATTATGCGGCTAGTTCTAGGAGACGCGGGCGGAGGACGGGAAACTAAAGTCTAATTTGGACTGTCCATAGCTTGAATCTTGAGTTACAAGATGTTAATATTTGGCCTGAGTTTCATCTTATATATATTTTATCTGACTATTATGCATCAACATTTCATACAAAAACACAAAATAGTTATAATGAAGGGTGGACAATTGGATGTGAAGAATAAAAGGAGGGAAATGAAAGAAAGGAGGAAAATGGATGAAAGGAGGATTTCCAAAAGTTCAGAAGAACAAGTGGAAAAATGTCTTGGGATTGACAAAGCCTATTGTGATGTAATATATGTGTAATTATGTACATAATTAGTCTAGGATTTAGGATTCTACTGCATGCAATTATATTCACTTGTATCTAGACATTCATGTTGTAAGCATCTTTATTAAAATCTTTTACATGCATGGTGGCAGTGGTAAAATAAGCCAAGAAACCCGAGCAGTGGCCTCAACAAAGCAGAACGAATTCCCCGGGAAAGTCTACCGCGGAGAAGACAAGAATATAGAGGCATACACACAGGAAAAAATTCATACAGCAGAAGTTAGAAATATCAAGTTCAAACGTATCCTTACAGTATCCTTGAAACAAATGTTGTAGTATAGCCACAGTAATATAAGTAATAAAGCCGTAAAGAAGAAACAAACAACAAATATATGTACTTTGGGTTGCGAAATTTGGCAGACAATAATACGCATGCATCAGTGAACACAAGCGTCTTGAACTAAAATATATGCGATACACCTATCCTTGAATTGAGAAAAGGGAAATAACTGACGATAGAGTAAATCGGCCGATAAAATATCGGAGTCTATTACACCCCGCATGGATTGGGCTAATTCAAATTAAGGCAGCGCTATAAAACTATTCAAACAACAATGCGAGCTATATTTCTCCGTTAAAGAGGTAAAAAAAGAGAAACAAGTAGACCATATCTTATTATTTACCGGCGCTAATGGCATTAGAATGTTTAACTAATGGGGATTGGGCGAGGCGGAATGAAAAAACCCAGAAGTTGTCTGGAACAAATTCATTTCGTATATTCAGTCCAGAGAAAACTTTAGAGTAGCGCGGCTTTATTTACAAACATTTCGTCAGCAAGAAAATGAAAGTGTCGACGAGTATGTCTCGAGGTTGAAGCCTTCAAGTGCAACCTGCGCGATGAGAAAGAATTTGAAGAATTTGATAGAACAGTTCATTGCTGGAACGTACGATCACAATGAATTATAAAAACAGCTCTTAGCAATGGATAAATCGTTGAACTTGGTCAAAGGAATTAAACTTGGAAAGACGCACGAAGCCATCCTTTTGCACATGAAAGAATTGGCACAAGTACAGCGCGAACTTCGCTATACGAAGTTTGAAGAGAAGAAACCTGCGGTAGTTGCCGAAGGCTCCATTCAAAGTCTCCGAGAGATAAATGCCCAGCGTTTGGTAGAACGTGTCATCGGTGCAAGAAACGAAATCACTGGGAGAAGATGTGTAGATCAAAATTGGCAAATGGACCAACAAAAGACCGGTTTGGTTCCAAAAGTCTCTCGAAGCATCCCCGCCGAAAAAACAACGAACGACGAGATGTACATGATATTAGAAAGGAAGATACTGATGACGATGACCTATTCGAGGAAATGACAATAAATACCACCAAGATATCAGATATCAGCGCGGGTGGCGATTCTCATTCAAAGTCACGTGATGAAGCTTACACCTACGTTAGAGTAAAGTGTAGCAAAAGTGTGGATACGAAGTGAAGATAGAGAGTCCCGTCCAACAGAATCAACGCACGGAATGTCGAAGCCAAAAGACAATAGCAGATGTGTTCATTAATACTGTAGATGATTCAATGGCAGCATATCCGGAGAAATTCGATAAAATGGGAAACTTCCCTGGCGAGTACACCATATATTGTCCTGGAAAAAGAAAGTCACCCAGTCATACACGCACCGCGCAAGTGTCCCATACATTTGAAAGATGGGCTAAAACAAGAGTTAGATGACATAAAACAAAAAGGCGTTATAAAGAAGATACGGAGCCGACAGATTGGGTAAGCAGGATAGTCATTTCAAGACGAAAGAACGGAAAGTTGCGTGTATATGTCTGGACCCAAAAGATCTGAACAAAGTTATAAAACGATGTCATCACAAAACCCAGACTTTGAAAAATTTGCAGGATCGAGATATTTTAATAGACGCCCAAAATGGGTATTGGTCATAGATATCTTATATACACTAGATAGTGCATCTAATTATTCTGCAATTCAAAATTGAAGCCGTGATTGCAGTCTCAGGTCGTTCCCATGAAATGAGAAGATTCGTATGTTTTCTATTTCTTAAACAGGGAACTTAAACATTAAGTTAACCCTATTCCAAATACGTTTTTAAAGTATTCAAATAATGAAAGTTATTGTTGTTTTTAAGCGTTTATTAGCAAGTGGGAACGACCAACATGGCCGCCATCTATTCAAATGGGGGTAACCGCTGGAATATTCTTGGCTTCAATTTTAATAAAAGAGATGCGCTATCTAGTGTATATAAGATATCTATGGTATTGGTCAGCGGTACTAGACGAGGAAAGCTCCAGACTGACAACTTTTAACAGCCCATTCCGAAGATACTGTTTCCTAAGAATGCCATTTGGGTTGGTGGTGAGTCAAGATGTTTTCCAACATAGAATGGATCAGATCCTTGAAAAGTGTCCTTGAGGCTTGGTCAGGTATTTCGCAGAGGTCAGGAATTTCGCTTGACACTGGGACAGTCAGCATAGCCGATGATATCGTGGTGTGTGGGAAAACGGAGGCGGAGCACGATTGGAATCTGCACAACATAATGGAGGTGGCGAACGTGGTGGTGTTTAACAGCGAGAAGTGTGATCTCAAGATTCCACGTATTAAATTCTTTGGTATGATCGGTATGATGTATGACAAAGACGGCGACAATCCAGACACAGCCAAAGTGAAGGACATAAAGCAAAGATGTTCCCCTAGGAATGCTCACATACATGTCTCCATTCATCTCAAAACTGGCGGATAACATACAGCAAATTTACGAAACCTCCTTAAGAATGGGATTGATTACGTGTGGTCAGAATCGCACGAGCAAAATTTTCGGAAGATTAAACGACTTATTTGTAAAAAAACCACCCTTATGTACTTTAATGTAGAGGACGAAGCAGTCACACAAGTTGATGCTCCCTCCAGAGGATCGACCTTGGTGCTCTTTTACTCCAAAACAACTATCTTATAGCGTTCGCGTCAAAGTCGTTGAGCAACATGGAACAACGATATGCAAACATAGAAGGGGAATTACTGGCTGTAGTGTTTGGGTGTGAAAGATTCCACACTAATTATGTCTATGGGAAACATTTCACCATCGAGTCGGATCACAAGCCATTAGAAATGATCCAACAGAAACCATTAACAGCCGCTCTCCCGCGTTTGCAAAGAATGTTACTTTGTCTACAAACGTATGACGTGAAGATTACATATTTACCAGGAAACGAAATCCTGTTGGCAGACAGTCTATCGCGTTCTCCAAGTACAGATAGCATTGCGATAGACTCAGATCTTCAAATCCATCATGTCCAATTTACACCGCAATGACTCGACCAGATAAGGCAGGAAACTAGACGAGACACAGAATTAAAGCAGCTAATGGAAACGACTGTGGTTGGGTGGTCAGAGTAGAGCCGTACCCAAACAGATCCAGCAATATTGGCCATTTAGAGATGAGTTAGCAGTGGAGGATGATCTAGTGCTAAAGGGACCATGAGTAGCTATCCCACAAAGCCTAACGCCAACTATATTATCCAAGCTCCACGAAGGTCATCAAGGAGTAGACAAATCCAAACTTCGAGAGACTGTATATTGGATCAATATAAGTAAGGACATGCATTAAGAGACAACAACTGCACATGCAATGCCCCATCTGTCAGCAGTACAGAGCGTCACAAACACGGGAGACATTACTGCCTCACTAAGTTCTTACCCGCCCATGGCAAACCCTGGGGATAGACTTGTTCGAGTTTGAGGGAGATAACTATTTGATCATAGTAGAATACTATTCAAAGTTTCCATTTATAGAGAAGATGCCTGTCCATTGTACTGCAAAAGCTGTTGTCAAAGCAACCAAGACGCTATTCTCAGAGCAAGGAATTCCTCAGAAAGTCGTGAGTGATAATGTATCTCAATTTAGTTCTTCCTTCCTGTACGCTGCATTCGCAAAGAAATGGAACTTTTCACATGTGACATCATCGCCGCACTATCCCCAGTCAAATGGTCTTGTTGAAAGGTTCATACAGAATGTTGAGCATTCCCTTGGTAAAGAAAGGCCAGTGGGAATGACCCCCAACATGGCATTTCTTTGTATTCGCACTACACCAGCAGACAGCAACGCTCCAAGTCCCGTAAACTACAGGAGTACAGGGAAATCTTCCTGTGCGGATACCCAACAGAGATCATCGAAGGGACGAGGTCCATAAGCACAGCTCGTGGAGAAGCAACAGAAACAGAAAAAATACTATGACCAGCATGCTGTATTGGGACGTGTATTAGAGGCACAAGTAAGAGAGGAATCAGGACTGTCAGATATTTCTACGCGCCAAACAAGCATGAATAGGAGTGCTCAGGAAAATACAACAACCGAAGCAGTTTATAGAATTTGATCAGGAAGGGCTATTCGCAAGCCTGAGAGATTATGGACAGTAAATAGTTAGAAATAGTGAGAATTAACTTATGAAATTTCATATTAGGTTCTAGGTTATATTACTATAAGCATATGTTGTATAATAATATTAATTAGTAGTTAAAAATATTATTGCCAAGCAAATAATTTGTAAAAGAGACATATATTCAAAAAACATTTGGTATATATAAAATATTTATTGAGTAATATTTCGTCACATTACAAACATCATCATCAGACTAAATACAGTTAAGTTATTTCATCTATTTGATAAGAAATTAAAAAAAAATATATACAATTACAAACTGCTGGGAATCGTTAATAAATGAATGAATTTATTAGCGATTCCCAGCAGCTTTTCACAATCGTATTCGACTTTTCCGCTTTGCTCGGGGAACAACCTTAATTGAAATAGCTGTATAAACAAGATAAATGTTTTTTGAATATGTCCCTTTTACAAAGTATTTGCTGGGCAATAATATTTTTAACTAGAATTTTGTTCCAAGTCACATGAAGAAACCATGGTTTGTCATTGGCTAATTGATTCAAACAGCTCAGCACTTAGCTCATAACATCCGCAGAGATTTTTTCCTCGTGAGGCGAAAAATATCAAACACGATAGCTATTTTCCTCAAGGCCTCGAGAGGTTAAATCCTCATGAAAACTATCCGCACACTGTGTGCAGCAAGGTTCAAGCCTCAGTGAGAACTCTCTCAATGCGACTGACGAACCCAGTCCTCATGTGAAAAGAGTAAAAGTCAATGCTCTGCCGAAAATTGTGGGTTTCCTCCGGGTACTCCGGTTTCCTCCCACAGGGAAAGTCGACAGGGTGGGTTAGGTAAAAGGGCTCACAGTAATTGGCATATGCTGTTGTGGTGACCCTGCTCTAGTTGGCAAAGCTAAATAGATAAAAAAATAGATACATTCTGATTCACAAAATTATATATTCGAATCACAAGTTGAATTTTCTCTGGGGGCAGTTGCCCATACTCCCTCCCATCTCCCTCCCCCCCTGCATAGGGCTCTGCCAGGGGAGTTTTGTCCAGCACTCCAGCATCCAACTGATAGGTGGGTCCGAGGCATGCCCCCCCAGAAAATTTTTTAAATTTGGGGCTGTCAAACAGCATTTCCTGCGTTCTGGCGTCACTTTTAAAATTAATTTAATGATTAGAAAATGCATGTTTTTAAGTGAATTTTTGACTAATACGCAGCTCAAACAATGAATTGAACCTTTTCCGAAGCATATTAGCTAGTACCTATAGTGTTAAAAATATAGGATATCCACTAATTGCTGACACATCGATTTAGATCTACACGCTTTCAATCCAACTCTAACGATGAACTAAAAACCAAACTGCAAGAGCGTGAAAGATTCGCAATCATTTCCTGATTCTCAATCGCCAAAGCAATAATCAGTGGGTCTAAATACGCTCAGTAGTCCATAATCAAATTTCAATAATAGATTAGACAACATCAATTTTATGAAACAGAATATTCTTTAAATTATAGTTATATACATGGAAGGTTATAGATTTTCTTTTTTTGGAAAATCTGACAGGTTTATGTAAACCTGTCAAACCTGTCTGAATCCGCCCCTGATGTGAATGTGAGAACGTGTGGTGCCGATGAGCATGTGAACTTATTTTTTGTAAGTGTGTTTTACTTTTACGTTAATTTGCTGCAAAAAAGTGTATATAGAAACATGTTAATTTTAATATTTCTATCTTACTTTTAAAAAATTAACGGTAGTTTAATTTAGTGCATTTAAATTTTGGCAGGGACAGGGGGTGCACAATTTTGTTGGGGGTGCACAATTTCTCTGGGAGGGGGGTGGAACAAAATTTGGGGGTGCGCCCCCCTCGAAAATCCGTTGTTGGGCACAACTACGGACAGTATCTGACGACACCGTCCCGCACCAGGGTGTTAGCCAGGTGGCCGTCCGACCGTCCTATGGACGGCCACTTCTGAATTTGGACGGCTAAATTTTAATGGACGGCCATGGACGGCCTAAGGGAATATTTTCTTTAAATAGCAACCTACAAGCTTTGTAATATTTTTTGAAATGTCTTTGTAGCCATTTTGATGATTCTTGCATGAAGTATCAAGGAGAATAATGTGAAACCTCTATTTTAAAAAACAGCAATCGCTTTATCGCTCGAGCGCCATGTTACAGTTACAGTAGTGATCATACCATACGTGTGCTTTTACTAAATTTAATGACGGAAATGTGCATCTAAAACTAAAAAGGTTCAACGAATAAAGCACCACAATTCCTTGACAACAAAAAATTGCGGCCACACCCAAAAACAGGTGACCACACCCACAAAAATATGTTGCCACGCCCACAAAATTATTTCGGACGGCCACTTTTGAAATCCTGGCTAACACCCTGTCCCGTACACATTCGAACAATCACTTTGCTAGTTTTTATTCTGCAATCTTGAACATTTCAATTGTGGGAGAAAATTCGGTTTATGCACATGCCTGAAAAGAATGAGCACACAGAGATGTGCATGTTTCTGTGCATGCGTATATATGAAAAGTGTTCATCCCACAATAATAAGACAATCAAACAGCATTCAAAACAGGCAACACACCACACGCGATTCCCTCGGCTACCATGTATTTACAAACTAAATGCATGCTTTGAGGGAAATTAGTGATTAATTTAAATGACCCTGCAAACCTCGGGAGGTTTAGTAAAAGTCCTCGGGCTATGCCCTCGGGACTTTTACTCAACCTCCCTCGATTTGCGGGGACATTTAATTAATCACTAATGTCCCTCAAAGCATGCGTTTACTTATAATAAACATACGTGTTGATCAGAGATTGCATTGCAAGTTGCAAGAAAAATTGCCTGGTATAACCATAGGCTATACCCAAAAGTGCGTGTTGTAATTTTTACCTCGCGAGTGGCGCTCGGGCATGCATCGAGTCTACTCAGTTTATTATTATGACAATAAACTGAGTAGACTAGATGCATGCCCGAGCGCCATGCGCGAGGGTAAAAATTACAACACGCACTTTTGGGCAGCCTATGGTGTAACACTGTAACATGGCCCTTTGTTCAATCTCTTAGTGAAGGTCGAAATTTGTAAAATTTGGATATTAATAACATGTTTGTGTGGAATATTAAAGGTTTATGAATGTTGTCCGGGATGGGGAATTGGTTTTCCTTGTTTGCCCTGGGGACAGGGAATTGACAGAATGACACTGTTTCGAAATACAAAATCTGCAAATCCCAAAGAGTTGCCCGAGGGAGGGGGGAGGTATTAACAGGAAGATTTGAACCACGAGTTATTTACTACCAGAATATCTACAGTACTTACAAATTTCGCATTTCAAACCCAAGCTTTTTCCAATACGATTAATTTTTACTAATGGAGTATCACCAATCCCTTCAAGGATATTAGACATAATTTTACTTGTTTTAACCTTCCTAAAACATGGAAATAAGGTTTATACTTAATGCACACTTTCAATACAATCAATATTAAATACGCAACTACTAGGGTATATTATTATTATTGAAAAAAATCAATACCTTTCATGATAATGTGGTGAATCCGAAGTTTCGCTACCTAAATGCCATGTGCATTTTGATGGCAAGTTAGGAGGTATCCACACACGTTCCATAGTCTCTAGAAAGTTGAAAATAAATGGTAAACGATGTCGTTTCGCTCGAACACTGGACAGATATTTCGTAAAGTTCTTTGTATGAGGACTTTTTAAGAGAATGGGCCGAGCTACTACGTGGCCCAACCACCGAGAGTGTTTTAAAAACAGTACACTAGTACAGTATTAAATTGTGTCAATGCGTGATAAATATACCTGGCACAAAGCGCACAAGCTTAATTCACAGCTGTTGCTATTCGAAATATTTAAAAAGATAACAATGCAGCACGTATTTTGACAGTAAAAACACTTTGTACTAGAATTAACTTACATACAAACAAGTTTAGAATTCAATTTATACAATAGTGGATTAGTGGGCGGGTAAAAGGGGGTTATTGTGTGACATGTGGGCGTGACATTGGCGTGAGCACATATAAACTGGCCATCAAGAACTGGAGTATACTCAGCAGGTAAGCATTCCGGTCTTTTCCGGTACAGTTTGTCTATCAACTCTAATTACTGTGTGATGGTCTGGAAACTGTGTCACATTGTGCATAGTAGCTATGCATTGTGTTATGTTTTTATCTGAATCACTCAAGATGGGCTATCTTTAAAACAGGGAACGGGGAATCGGGGAATCCGGGAATCGGGGAATCCGGGAATCCGGGAATCGGGGAATCCGGGAATTGGGGAATCCGATAAAAATTTTATAAAAATTTAAATAAAAATTTTATTCAATTTACAATTTATGCAATAAAAGAAAATGAAGCTTAATCGAAGCTTAATCCCTTATATGCAGTTCTATGTTCATGTCTGTATAATGAAATCAGGAAGAGGTATCCGTCTCAAAGCAACACTGCCACTGGATATAAATAATCACAGTAGAGAACTGAGAACGTGATAAAAAGTGTATACAATCTTACGTAAACTGATATTGTAAATTATAAGTATAAATTAACCTAGTCAAATAAATGGCTCTTCACTCGGACTCTGTTGCGTGAGTATGATCACTGTGGTATGATCGACTAAGAAGTATATATAGTGCGCTCGAGTCTCGGTGGTTAATACGCCTGTTTAATACGCCTGTTGTGAAAACATAATTTCTTGAATAAGTTGGGGTACATTACGGCCTAGAATAGTATTCATTTGATGCAGCTAGTACACAACCAGTGACTAAGGAATAAATTGCGCGCAAACAGTATATAGATACGGCACGTTTCAGCAAACGCAAATGGACGAAAACATGACACACTGAGGTACTTGTCTTTAGTATTTATATTCCTAATAGTCTATTGCGTTCCGGTATACTCAACTTCGTTTACTTCAATTAATTTCATTTCGCCTATTTTGTCATAGTACGGACTGTATAAATTCTAACTACATCCAACTATCCACAATGGACTATATATAAAACTAAAATATCTACAATATGCCACAACTATTAAACGACATCTGAAACCTATACACTGCTACTACAACATTGATTTCGCATTTCGGCGGCTTATAAGCGATAAATCGTCGTATATATATATGGTGATATCATTGCATTGATTTACCAATGTATCGCATCTACATAAGGCAGATTTATTTGGATTTTGTTTAAATTATCAAAAAATCCCAATTCAACGCAGTTCGTCGCTTGGCGTAAGAACTACAACGTCTGTGAGCAGGCTAGGCTATTACACATTCGCTTTAGTTTATATCCTGCGTGAAGTTTACGTTAAATGCCCGTTTAAAAGTATTAAACTGGGGTTTTTTCACAACTTCGTGTCCTGCAATTTTGGTGTGACGTCAAACTTTCGATTAAGCTTCATTTTCTTTTATTGCATAAATTGTAAATTGAATAAAATTTTTATTTAAATTTTTATAAAATTTTTATCGGCTTCCCCGATTCCCGAATTCCCCGATTTCCGGATTCCCAGATTCCCAGATTCCCCGATTCCCGGATTCCCCGTTGCCTGTTTTAGAGATAGCCACTCAAGATGTATGTTAATTTGTGCACGGTCACGGTGATTGACTTTATTGTGTTTTCGTATAATCCAATACATGTAGGGATAGCTAAGATGAAACGTGCAACCACGATGGATAATATTTAATTGAGTTTAGACAAAGTCCTGATTTGTGCACGTTGAGGTACAGTTCAACGTCAAACAAGTCTTCTATTTTGTGACTTTGAAGTTTGCCGGGCTTCCAGACGATACGCTTTGCATGTGGCCCTATCACTGGGCGGTATCGAGGACAATTAAAAATAGCTTCAGTCTCTTTCACATGCCTTACATGTTAAGGTGAAAGGCATGATCGACGGAACAAATCGGAATATAAAGGACAAGCAAAAGCTCAGATCGATGAAGGGCCTTCTCTCGAAACGTCGAAGTTCTGATTATATTTTTCTGGTAGTTGTATATCCTTCACATCACACCGCAAACTTCAAAGCATGTATTGACTTGAGGTATTCAATATAATCAATCAAATCGTCAATGAAATGTACATCCCGCAGTCATACTCTCAGTGGAATACCTTATACCCTCAGTTTGTTCGCAGTTACCAGAAAACAAAATTATTTCCATTTAAGTTACGTGTTTCTGCTGTGGCCTCCGACGAACTTATGCAATGGACAGGGTAAAGTGGAACCCCGCCTTATCACTGACCTCGCTCGTCACGGTCACCCGTCGGCCGCGTTATTATGGCCACTTTTTTAGCCCGGCAAAACAGCCATACCTTTTCTTATAAAAATACCCCGTTAATGCGGTCACCCGTTAATATATACGGCCAACAGCCACATTTTGAAATCCCGAAGAGTATAAACCTATATAATTTCACTCCGTAATTAATACGACCACTCGTGCTAAATTTAGAAAACCAAAACGCCTGTGAACACTAACACGACAAATGCAATTCAAGAGGTCACAGCCACAGGTTATTTTCATCACCGTTTTTATTTCAAATCGTGAACACGAGACCGAGAGTCATCAAATTTATATTGTACAAATACAATGATGTATAAAGTCAAAGACCTCCATTTTCAGAACGATAATAAGCTGAGTCTGGCTTGTTTTGCATTTGTGGCGGTTTATTAGCCGATTTTTAAAAGTATTGTATTTTTTACAATTATATCTCCATTTCAGTTGTTTAATTAAGAGACAGGTGTGATATATTTGTCATGAAATGTTACCCCACCCCGTTAATAGGGGCTTCGGTGGCGTGGTGGCGCAATCGTTTCCAAGGTTTCTACCGCATATTGCAGGGGGTGCAAAAACATTGGGGCGAGCGCGCGGCCACCAATGGCGCCCATACTATTTCCTATTGAGTGAAATTGAGTGAGTGAAAATTACCTTTTGACATTTTGTCCTTTTTCTCAAAAAATTTCTATATAAGCATATCCAATTTTTATTTTTAGATAATCGCTGGGTTTTTTCTGATATGTGGCCGAGATTTCTTGCTAATCGAAGGACAGGAAGTAATAAAAAACGGCGGCTTTTGTTGCACAACTTGACCGACGTTTTAGCGATGATTCAAGTTGTGCAATAAAAGCCGCCGTTTTTTATTACTTCCTGTCCTTCGATTAGCAAGAAATCTCGGCCACATATCAGAAAAAACCCAGAGATTATCTAAAAATAAAAATTGGATATGCTTGTATAGACATTTTTTGAGAAAAAGGACAAAATGTCAAAAGGTAATTTTCACTCACTCAATAGGAAATAGTATGGGCGCCATTGGACATTGGTGGCCGCGCGCTCGCCCCAATGTTTTTGCACCCCCTGCAATCCATATGGCGGTAGAAACGTTGGAAGAGGGCCCCCTATACTTTTTGCGTGAAGCGTGAAGGGCTTGTTTTACTTAGCCGTGAAACGTGATCAGGCCCCCCTATACTTTTTGCGTGAAGCGTGAAGGGCTTATTTTACTTAGCCGTGAAACGTGATCGATGATTTTCTTAATACGTGACTCGTGAAAAGGCAAAATATTTTTACGTGAAAGCATATTGTGAAGAGGTATAGGGGGCCCTCTTGGAAAGGTCTATTAAGCGCCTTAATTTCACCTCTAAGTTCGTGGGTTCAATGGCCTTCAATTCACACTACGAACTCATGTGAAAAGAGTCAGCCAACGCTCTGCTGAAAGTCGTGGGCTTTCTCCGGGTGCTCCGGTTTCCTCCCACAGGGAAGTTGACAGGTTTAGGACAAACACCGTCAAGAAAGTAATATCACAATTGTTGTAAGTAGGCGATAGCGTGCGTTTGGCAGAATATGACGTCAGCAGTTTCCCCGCCATTTTACGTACGTGCGACTACGTGCGGGATTTTTCTACCGTATTTGAGGTGACCTCTTTTGCGTACGTGCGCGTATGTACAGCGGTGTAATAATCAGATGCGTCCGTGCGCGTGCGTGCAGAGTTAATCAGAAAGTTTTTGAACAAAAATTTTGTTAAACTTTGAGAATATAACTTTATATATATATATATATATATATATATATATATATATATATATATATATATATATATATATATATATATATATATATATATATATATATATATATATATATATATATATATATATATATATATATATATATATATATATATAACGTAAATATATTAACTTTATAGTTCTTTTATTTAAGAATGTTCAAAAGCGGACCAAACGGGAGATAAAGGGGAACACGAATACGAAATCGTACTGATTTTCAGAGATAAATATTGTAGCCAGGACACTGCTTTACTTGAATGCATATATTAACACACGGGTTAACGTTTTAAACAATTTATTCCCATAAGTATATAACAATTTTACGGCAAATATACAGTTATTAAATATGTTGTCCAGCTTTTACAGAGTTTAGAATTTTAGATCGTTTTCACTTTAAATACAAAGCATCGAACCATTTATGGTTCTCTAGAGGTTCAGCTAGGTTCCATGGGGGGTTCCCACGGGGTTCTCCAACCCCAACGCGTGCACCAGAACCTTTAAACACGGGGACCCTGGGTACGAGGTTGGGGTTCTCTCGGGTTCCCTGGTAGACTTGCTCCAAGTCTCTCTTTCATTGTCATATAGTGTCGATCCACTATAGTGTACATTACATGACGTAGCACGGAGAGGCGGAGCGAGAAATTAAAGAGAGACTTGTCAACTTCGGAAAATCTCGGTTCAAAACTGAACCGAAAATGCAAGACTTGCTTTAATTGTTTTCCTTCAATTTCTTTCTGTATTATTTACTATAATGGAACTCATGTTATTTACACTGTGCTAGATCAATACATATAAAACATACAATACTATAGTGGATCGATACTATATGACAATGAAAGGGAGACTTGGAGCAAGTCTAGTTCCCTGGCGGAAGCAGCAG